CCCTGTCTCGTATCCCTGTCTGGTACCCCTGTCTGGTATCCCTCTCCGTTGCATGACTGGGAAATTGGTCTTAAAAGCATAAACGTTTTTATTTTAAGGCATCGGAATATGCAAATGTTCCATGTGTTCTACGAAAGAAATGCGTTCATCGGTTAAACCCCATGATCGATATGTATTACAAATGCCATCGAAAGACCTTGGCCCTAGTTAAACCATATTGTAGTGATGTTCCAGACCCGCTGATGTAAGCACATTTACGGAGACCGGTGCATCAAAGTCGCCTTGCGTGTGTGAGCGCGATAAAACCAGTCGATGAGGACATTACCATTTAGATGAGTTGGCATTGTGCGATGTAACATAACATGTGGGACTCGTTACTGATGTGACATCTGTGTGTAGGTAACACGCCACATTACATTTCTTGAAAAGACGTTGTTCAACCAATAAAACACAATTTTGGTTGCCTCGTTCCAAAGACCGATTGCAAACTTGATTTCTACGTGATCGGAGTGAGTGAGATTGAGTTTACGTCGCATCGGTATTATTCAACCATATATCGACGTCCATTTCAAGCAGAAGAATTTCTTTACATCCATATTTCTTCATTTCATATTAATTGCAATTGGAAACGTCAAAGCACCAAAGTATTCATTACAGTTTTCTGAGAATTATTAGCGACAATCGATTATGAAATTTTGCAATCGATAATCGCATCGGAAAAAGGGTAACCAATCAATTATCGATTATAGTCCATCATCGGAACACCACTATCCCCGGTACTTGTGGCATGGGTTAACTATTGATATCTTTCCCAGGATTTCTGGCATGGGTTAACTATTGATGTCGTTCCATGGGACTTGTGGCATAGGTTAACTATTGATATCTTTCCCAGGGACTTGTGGCATGGGTTAACTATTGATATCTTTCCCTCGGACTTGTGGCATGGGTTAAATATTGGATATCTTTCCCCGGGATTTGTGGAATGGGTTAACTATTGATATCTTTCCCTCGGACTTGTGGCATGGGTTAACTATTGATATCTTTCCCAGACACTTGTGACATGGGTTAACTATTGATATCTTTCCCAGACACTTGTGGCATGGGTTAACTATTGATGTCATTCCCCGGGACTTGTGGCATGGGTTAACTATTGATATCTTTCCCTGGGATTTGTGGCCTGGGTTAACTATTGATGTCATTCCCCGGGACTTGTGGCATGGGTTAACTATTGATATCTTTCCCTGGAACTTGTGGCATGGGTTAACTGTTGATATCTTTCCCTCAGACTTGTGGCATGGGTTAACTAGTGCTATCTTTCCCAGGGACTTGTGGCATGGGTTAACTATTGATGTCATTCCCCGGGACTTGTGGCATGGGTTAACTATTGAAATCTTTCCCCGGAACTTGTGGCATGGGTTAACTATTGATATCTTTCCCTCGGACTTGTGGCATGGGTTGACTATTGATATCTTTCCCCGGGACTTGTGACATGGGTTAACTATTGATATCTTTCCCTCGGACTTGTGGCATGGGTTGACTAGTGATATCTTTCCTTGGGACTTGTGACATGGGTTAACTATTGATATCTTTCCCTCGGACTTGTGGCATGGGTTAACTAGTGATATCTTTCCCTGGAACTTGTGGCATGGGTTAACTAGTGATATCTTTCCCTCAGACTTGTGGCATGGGTTAACTAGTGATATCTTTCCCAGGGACTTGTGGCATGGGTTGACTATTGATATCTTTCCCCGGGACTTGTGACATGGGTTAACTATTGATATCTTTCCCTCAGACTTGTGGCATGGGTTAACTAGTGATATCTTTCCCTGGAACTTGTGGCATGGGTTAACTATTGATATCTTTCCCTCAGACTTGTGGCATGGGTTAACTATTGATATCATTCCCCGGGACTTGTGGCATGGGTTAACTATTGATATCTTTCCCCGGGATTTGTGGCATGGGTTAACTATTGATATCATTCCCTCAGACTTGTGGCATGGGTTAACTCTTGATATCTTTCCCTCGGATTTGTGGAATGGGTTAACTATTGATATGTTTCCCCGGGTTTTGTGGCATGGGCTAACTATTGATATCTTCCCCAAGATTGGTGGCATGGGCTAACTATTGATGTCTTTTCCCGGGATCTGCGCTGCTAGCGTTAATTGTTGGTGTTGTGGCAGGTACACTACCTAGTGGAGCAGTACTTGTTTGGCAGGTATGGTTAAGTAATCACGTGTATTTGCTGAAACTCCGTCACTAAGGGAATGCGATTGGCCCTTTTCCAGGTATAATTTTAATTTTCCAGATCATGTCTTTAATTGTAAGTACGCTAGAGATCTCGACGTTCAGGCGGTACTCTGAAAGTCCTGGTTCAATTCCCACTTGTCTTATGTCTGACGCCCCTGTCTGGTATCCCTGTCTGGTATCCCTGTCTGACACCCCTGTCTGGTATCCCTGCCTGGTATCCTTGTCTGGTATCCCTGTCTGGTATCCCTGTCTGGTACCCCTGTCAGGTATCCCTGTCTGGTATCCTGTCTGACACCCCTGTCTGGTATCCCTGTCTGACACCCCTGTCTGGTATCCCTGTCTGGTACCCCTGTCTTGTATCCCTGTCTGGTATCCCTGTCTGACACCCCCGTCTGGTATCCCTGTCTGGTACCCATGTCTGGTATCCCTGTCTGGTACCCCTGTCTGACACCCCTGTCTGGTACCCCTGTCTGGTATCCCTGTCTGGTACCCCTGTCTGGTATCCCTGTCTGGCATCCCTGTCAGGTATCCCTGTCTGGTATCCCTGTCTGGTATCCCTGTCAGGTATCCCTGTCTGGTACCCCTGTCTGGTATCCCTGTCTGGTATCCCTGTCAGGTATCCCTGTCTGGTATCCCTGTCAGGTATCCCTGTCTGGTATCCCTGTCTGACACCCCTGTCTGGTATCCCTGTCTGGTACCCCTGTCTGGTATCCCTGTCTGGTATACCTGTCTGACACCCCTGTCTGGTATCCCTGTCTGACACCCCTGTCTGGTACCCCTGTCTGGTATCCCTGTCTGGTACCCATGTCTGGTATCCCTGTCTGACACCCCTGTCTGGTATCCCTGTCTGGTACCCATGTCTGGTATCCCTGTCTGGTATCCCTGTCTGACACCCCTGTCTGGTATCCCTGTCTGACACCCCTGTCTGGTATCCCTGTCTGGTACCCCTGTCTGGTATCCCTGTCTGGTATCCCTGTCTGACACCCCTGTCTGGTATCCCTGTCTGGTACCCTTGTCAGACACCCCTGTCTGGTATCCCTGTCTGGTACCCCTGTCTGGTATCCCTGTCTGGTATCCCTGTCAGGTATCCCTGTCTGGTATCCCTGTCAGGTATCCCTGTCTGGTATCCCTGTCTGACACCCCTGTCTGGTATCCCTGTCTGGTACCCCTGTCTGGTATCCCTGTCTGGTATCCCTGTCTGACACCCCTGTCTGGTATCCCTGTCTGACACCCCTGTCTGGTATCCCTGTCTGACACCCCTGTCTGGTACCCCTGTCTGGTATCCCTGTCTGGTACCCCTGTCTGGTATCCCTGTCTGGTATCCCTGTCTGACACCCCTGTCTGGTATCCCTGTCTCGTACCCATGTCTGGTATCCCTGTCTGGTACCCCTGTCTGGTATCCCTGTCTGGTACCCTTGTCAGACACCCCTGTCTGGTATCCCTGTCTGGTACCCCTGTCTGGTATCCCTGTCTGGTATCCCTGTCAGGTATCCCTGTCTGGTATCCCTGTCAGGTATCCCTGTCTGGTATCCCTGTCTGACACCCCTGTCTGGTATCCCTGTCTGGTACCCCTGTCTGGTATCCCTGTCTGGTATCCCTGTCTGACACCCCTGTCTGGTATCCCTGTCTGACACCCCTGTCTGGTATCCCTGTCTGACACCCCTGTCTGGTACCCCTGTCTGGTATCCCTGTCTGGTACCCCTGTCTGGTATCCCTGTCTGGTATCCCTGTCTGACACCCCTGTCTGGTATCCCTGTCTCGTACCCATGTCTGGTATCCCTGTCTGGTACCCCTGTCTGGTATCCCTGTCTGGTACCCCTGTCTGGTATCCCTGTCTGGTATCCCTGTCTGACACCCCTGTCTGGTACCCCTGTCTGGTATCCCTGTCTGGTACCCCTGTCTGGTATCCCTGTCTGGTACCCCTGTCTGACACCCCTGTCTGGTATCCCTGTCTGGTACCCCTGTCTCGTATCCCTGTCTGGTACCCCTGTCTGGTATCCCTCTCCGTTGCATGACTGGGAAATTGGTCTTAAAAGCATAAACGTTTATTTTAAGGCATCGGAATATGCAAATGTTCCATGTGTTCCAAAAAGAAATGCGTTCATCGGTTAAACCCCATGATCGATATGTATATTACAAATGCCATCGAAAGACCTTGGCCCTAGTTAAACCATATTGTAGTGATGTTCCAGACCCCGCTGATGTAAGCACATTTACGGAGACCGGTGCATCAAAGTCGCCTTGCGTGTGTGAGCGCGATAAAACCAGTCGATGAGGACATTACCATTTAGATGAGTTGGCGTGTGCGATGTATACATAACATGTGGGACTCGTTACTGATGTGACATCTGTGTGTAGGTAACACGCCACATTACATTTCTTGAAAAAGACGTTGTTCAACCAATAAAACACAATTTTGGTTGCCTCGTTCCAAAGACCGATTGCAAACTTGATTTCTACGTGATCGAGTGAGTGAGATTGAGTTTTACGTCGCATCGGTATTATTCAACCATATATCGACGTCCATTTCAAGCAGAAAGGAATTTCTTTACATCCATATTTCTTCATTTCATATTAATTGCAATTGGAAACGTCAAAGCACCAAATTTAAAAACATGTAATTTGTCGCACACATGCATAGTTTATGCATAACTTATTATTCATTCTGATACCTGCAGAGTTAAATATCGAACAGTAGTGGAACACAACGCTCTACCCAACACACACACCAATGCGTCTGTCCACGTCAGCGACTGCCGGTATACATTGATAACTCCAGTGTACATATTAACACAGCGCCTTGCCAAGCAGGACGACCTAGTTACTGCCACGATAGTTTACGCGTGAATGAATTCCATGGATTTGGGATTGAAGAGCGTTGAGGTTGACCCGGCCCATGTGTGACCGGCACCCATTAGATGTGTTAGGCATTGCTGTTCAGGATAAGACAACAGGACACCTGTCAAAGGTATGTTCTAATGTTACACACATCCACAGGTTCTGTCACGGTGTTAGTTCCGATGGCAGGTAGAGGCGTCCTCTGCCCGAGCATGCAGTGAGAGGTTAACAACGTGCGTCTATTGCCCGTGGAAACGATATGGTACAGTTCGGGGAAGGATGGGTTTTAATACGATTCAGCAAAAGCATACAAGTGCAAGATACGTACCCTCGAACCCCTGTAACTCCACACCAGCCCCAAATCTGTTGGTCTATGAATGTTACAATCATTAACATCACATATAACAATATACATTTGTGGGTGGTGAATAACATCAAAGAAAAGACATTCCCGATATAGATATATGCGATGCCATGTTTTCACTTACACGCCCGATATGTATTATCTCAGATCACATTGATACATTTTTACAGGATGATGAACAGATATTGATTTTGCCGTAGTACACAACATAGCGTTTCAACAATCTGACGATGTCTGTCAGCTACAGACTGAACGGTCAGTGAGGCGACAACTGTAGTTTACTTAAACAGCGAGAATATTGTCCTCTGTGATGACCAGGGGGACGTCGACGTTTTGGTCCAATGGTTTGGAAACAACTCCCTGTTGCGCGGGTTTTGTGAAACTCGAGAAAATAGGACACCAGTACCCCTGCGACACAATGTATCACGCTAAGGTAGGACACCAGTACCCCTGCGATTCTCTGTAACACCCCTAGGTAGGATACAAGTGCCCATGTGACACAATGCATCACACCATGTCGGAAACAAGTACACCTGTGACACAATATATCACACCTCGTCGGAAACAAGTACATCTGTGACACAATATATCACACCAGGTCAGAAACAAGTACACCTGTGACACAATATATCACACCTCGTCGGAAACAAGAACACCTTTGACAGAATTTATCACACCAGGTCGGAAACAAATACACCTGTGACACAATATATTACACGAGGTCGGAAACAAGTACACCTGTGACACAATATATTACACCATGTCGGAAACAAGTACACCTGTGACACAATGTATTACACCGGGTCGGAAAGAAGTACATCTGTGACACAATGCCTCACACCAGGTCGGAAAGAAGTACATTTGTGACACAATGTATCACACCAGGTCGGAAACAAGTACATCTGTGACACAATGTATCACACCAGGTCGGAAACAAGTACATCTGTGACACAATGTATCACACCAGGTCGGAAACAAGTACATCTGTGACACAATGTATCACACCAGGTCGGAAACAGGTACACCTGTGTGGATCAAGTCATCTCAAGTGAGCTAGTGTATACGTGTTGTGTTGGGAATGTCGTCAGCGTGGATTATGTTTCGAATAAAATTATTCAGTTTTATGGTAACAGGCAAATATTATTAATAACGTTCACCTCGAGTCCATATTAGTCTACCTTAATGCCTGTGGCCTCATAAATAGTAATAACCAGCAAATACGTTTATTTCATGCCGTCAGGTGTCAATACTAGAATTATCATTGACTTGACATCTGTGTACAGTTTAAAACACCACATTTGGCAATATATATAGACTACCCATCAAAAGTTTAGACTATCTTAAAGCACTCTCTATATGTTATGTGTGTGTGTGTGTATATATATATAGTTTTCATTTCTCCACTAACTTGGGGGAACCAACTGCAAACCTTATGCCGATGAACTGCACGAGGATCATGCATCAAATTGCTGAAAAGCATGTGCAAATATCGTGCATGTGAACAGCTGCATTGGTGTAAAGTTTTGTTAAGATTTTGTTAATTTTCACTGAGTTTCATCATATAGGCATGAACTCATGACAATAATCTTTCCAACGTTACGGATATGTTTAACAATACATCAGTTCATGTGTAAACAGTACCTTTAAACAGCGTGGAATATTTTGCAAAATCTAGTTTGGAACAGTTGACAGAAGTTAGTGGTTACATTTACACTAGTGAAACTAAACGTTTGATAGGTAGTATATATAGTTCATGGAAAAGACACAACCAATTAAGCTCAATTTTATTATTACCTCCATACTGGGGTCATTTCTTGCTCTAACACAGTTAGTTTTGCTTTATCTGTCTTGGTCCCGCGACCGATTGCATACTTGATACCCAAGTATGTTGGGTTCATGCATTGTGTCCTAGGTTGGGGTGATACCAGGGGAACGACTCAATTTTACAATTATAGATTTCATCCAAGATGGACACCAGTACACCTGTGACACAATATATCCCCCCAATGTAGGAAACAAGTACACATGTGACACAGTGTATCACCCAGAAGGTAGGATACAAGTACACCTGTGACACAATGTATCACCCGCAAGGTAGGATACAAGTACACCTTTAGCACAATGTATCACCCAGAAGGTAGGAAACAAGTACACCTGTGACACAATGTATCACCTGGAAGGTAGGATACAAAAACACCTGTGACACAATATACCAACCCAAGGTAGGATACAAGTACACTTGTGACACAATAAATCACATTGGGTAGGATACAAGTACGCCTGTGACACAATGTATCACCAAGAAGGTAGGATACAAGTAAACCTTTAGCACAATGTATCACCCGCAAGGTAGGATACAAGTACACCTGTGACACAATGTATCACCTGGAAGGTAGGATACAAGTACACCTGTGACACAATGTATCACATGGAAGGTAGGATACAAAAACACCTGTGACACAATATACCAACCCAAGGTAGGATACACGTACACTTGTGACACAATATATTACATTGGGTAGGATACAAGTACACCTGTGACACAATGTATCCCCGAATGTAGGATACAAGTACACATGTTACACAATATATCACACAAGGTAGGATACAAGTACAGCTGTGGCACATTATATCCCCAAAAGGATACAAGTACACCTGTGACGCAATATATCACATTAGGTAGGATACAAGTACACTTTTGGCACATTGTATCACCCGGAAAGTATGATACAAGTACACCTGTGAGACAAGATATCCCCCCAATGTAGGATAAAACTACACATGTGACACAATGTATCACTCGGAAGGTAGGATACAAATTCAGCTGTGACACAATGTATCACCCCAAGGAAGGATACAAGTACACCTTTGACACAATATATCCCCCCAAGGTAGGATACAAGTACACCTGTGACACAATGTATTGCCTGGAAGGTAGGATAAAAAGAAAACACCTGTGACACAATATATCACACCATTGTAGGATACAAGTACACCTATGACACAATATAACACATTAGGTAGGATACAAGTGCACATCTGACACAAAATATCCCCCAATGTAGGATACAAGTTCACCTGTGACACAATATATTCCCCCAATGTTGGATACAAGTACGCTTGTGACACAACATATCACATTAGGTAATATACAAGTACACCTGTGGCACAAAATATCCCCCCAAAGTAGGAAACAAGTACACCTGTGACACAATATATCACATTAGGTAGGAAACAAGTACACCTGAGGCACAATGTATCACCCGGAAGGTAGGATACAAGTACACCTGTGACACAAGATATCCCCCCAATGTAGGATAAAACTACACATGTGACACAATGTATCACTCGGAAGGTAGGATACAAATTCAGCTGTGACACAATGTATCACCCCAAGGAAGGATACAAGTACACCTTTGACACAATATATCCCCCCAAGGTAGGATACAAGTACACCTGTGACACAATGTATCGCCTGGAAGGTAGGATAAAAATAAACACCTGTGACACAATATATCACACCATTGTAGGATACAAGTACACCTATGACACAATATATCACATTAGGTAGGATACAAGTGCACATCTGACACAAAATATCCCCCAATGTAGGATACAAGTTCACCTGTGACACAATATATTCCCCCAATGTTGGATACAAGTACACTTGTGACACAACATATCACATTAGGTAGGATACAAGTACACCTGTGGCACAAAAATATCCCCCCAATGTAGGAAACAAGTACACCTGTGACACAATATATCACATTAGGTAGGAAACAAGTACACCTGAGGCACAATGTATCACCCGGAAGGTAGGATACAAGTACACCTGTGACACAATATATCACATTAGGGAGGATACAAGTACACCTGTGGCACAATGTATCACATAAGGTAGGATACAAGTACACCTGTGACACAATATATCACATAAGGTAGGATACAAGTACACCTGTGGCACAATGTATCACATAAGGTAGGAAACAAGTACACCTGAGGCACAATGTATCACCCGGAAGGTAGGATACAAGTACACCTGTGACACAATATATCACATTAGGGAGGATACAAGTACACCTGTGGCACAATGTATCACATAAGGTAGGATACAAGTACACCTGTGACACAATATATCACATAAGGTAGGATACAAGTACACCTGTGGCACAATGTATCACATAAGGTAGGATACAAGTACACCTGTGACACAATGTATCACATTAGGTAGGATACAAGTACACCTGTGGCACAATATATCAAATTAGGTAGGATACAAGTACACCTGTGACACAATGTATCACATTAGGTAGGATACAAGAACACCTTTGGCACAATGTGTCACATTAGGTAGGATACAAGTACACCTTTGGCACAATGTATCACCCGGAAGGTAGGATACAAGTACACCTGTGACACAATATATCACATTAGGTAGGGTTTTTTAGTTTAAACATATTTTATTCACAATGTGAAAAGGATCGGGGACAAGTTCTTTCAACTTATTAAACCCCTCGCCGAAGATATTTACAATAACTAATTACATCACAAGCAATTATGAGAAACAGAGACAGAGAAAGACTGAAAGATAACAGGGGGAAATGCTATAATACAAAAGGTGTATAGAGAGAAGACTACTGGAATCGTTTAGATTTGCATATATATTGATGTACAGTTTTGAATATAATTTAGGTAAGATACAGGTACACCCGTGGCACAATGTATCACCCGGAAGGTAGGATACAAGTACACCTGTGACACAA